TCCTCTTTATAAACACAGTTAGGAAAAGTCTATAGTGTCAATCCAGGTGTTCTTTGTAAGGAGCATTTGTAAGTATACATGAGCAAGTGAAAATTTTCTGAGTTACAATAATTACCACGCATTTACTATGTCCCAGGACCAATGATAAGCACCTCTGTCTAGATGAGTCAGGGTTCTTAGCAGCAAGCAACAGAAAAATAACTATAGCGGAAATAAGCATGAAGTGAATTACAGAAAAGATACGGGAAGGCTCACCAAGGAGATTGGATGAATCAGGATTAATAAATGGGAAGAACCCAAGAGGGTGAGCAGCCAACACAGTCAAAACACCCCATATGAACCATCTATCTCATGAGGACACCACCATTACACCTGGAAATCAGATGCTGCTTCACCCCTGATAGGCCACATTTGCCATTACTTTTGCTTCTTTGTATTCCTGACTCCAGATTCAAAATAATGGGCAGCTGATACAGTGGTAAAATGAAAATTTTCTCCAAAGAACTCAATGTGATCCTCACCTGCCATTGTAAGACAATAATGCCCATCATCTAAGGACACAGGATCTCTTTGGAAAATCTTAACCACATAATATGGTATGACAAAGCCACAAGCGTTAAGGAGGCTTGCGAAATGTTTAATTGCTTAAAGGATTAAAAGTACATGTCAATCAATAGTCAATTGGCAGCAGTTCCATTTTTATATAAAATACAATTTCTTAATGCTTTAAGTAATTCACTAGGCTTTAGAATGTGATTTTATAAAATGAAAAGAATAAGTTATCATATTGATGAAAGCAAACATGTTGTAGCTGAAAGCAATCCAAAGCCAGCCAAATTCAATAAAAGCTCCTTATCTCCATTTTAGGAAGCATGTCATTACCTCAGAAAAGATTAATTCTTTCATTCATATTTCAATTTCTTTCCTGGCAAAATATAAAACTATGAGTTTTTTAAATACAATCTTCTTGCTTAACCATATGCTGAGTCCCACAGCAACATGAATGGAATAATTAATAAGGTGTGTATATTCCCAAAACTAAAAGGTAGTGAGTGGCCCGAGATAAGTTTAACTTATGCTTATATGCAATTACTCCTTTAACATAGGCTTTTGAATTATGTGAGAGACATTTTACTTCATTCATCTTTAAAGAAAAGCAACAAAGACCAGTCATGCACATAGTAGGCATTCTGTTATTACCTGTTGTTTGTGTGCATTAAATTCAAACCACAGAGGAGAAAAGTATGTAACTGATAAACCTCCTGAAAAAATGATAGGCAAGGGAAACCCTTTCTTAAAGCATGATTGCAAAAGGTAGCTCATATAAACTGCTGCAGAAATGAGTATTATCTACATACTAAAAATTTAATTCACCAAATCAAATTTACTGTCTCAGTCAGACATAAGTCCATTTCTGGGCAATAAAATGAGGCCCTTACTCAATATAGTATCACTATGAACTGTTTCAGAAACCAAAGGTTTGCATTATCTAGTTCAAACAAATGTTTAAATTAAACTTTCCACAGCTATACAGCAAAACTTCCCATTGCCCAAAGAGATACAACAAAATGAATCATTAGGAAAAAATCATCTGCAGATTAGAATTTCTATAAATTGTGCCTTAGAACCTGCCACATCTCATTTTAATTCAATCTTCTAATTTTATTAATATGCATTTTCCATCTTAAAAATGCTGACTCACACATAAAAACTTCCTAAAATATCATCATTAAGTTAGCAAAGAGGAAAAATGCTCACAGGAGATTAAATCTAATCTGGCTGGGTAGAAATTCCATCTTTGTCAGTTATTAGCTGTACACCCTTAGCAAGCTTTTAACCTTATCATGCCTGTTTCCTTGCTTAGCAACGTAACAGTGTTGCATTGAAATGGCAGGATTTAGTGACTGACTGAATATAACAGACATGAGAGGCATCAGAGAGGATGTGGCAGTATCTCAGCTGGGTAAGTAGGAGATAAGAGGAAGAGAAGGTGGGGAGCAACCAAAAGATGACAAGTTCTATCTGGGCCAGAAGACAGAGACGAGCATAAATGGATGGCCGAAGAAACAACTAGGAATGTGGGTTCAGACTCAAAAAAAAGAGATTTGTGAGGTAATCTACACAGAGATTACTGGAAATCATAGGCATGACTAATACAAACATTTATTTTCAAAATGTTTTATGAATATCATTTTATTTCAAAACACATCCAAATATGAATAAAGTTGGAAGGTAGGTACATATATTTCAATCATTTATAAACTTTTCAAATTAAAATATGAAGTCTCCTAACATATGGTGGACAGAATACTGATCATCACATCTCAGATTTGTCCATAGATTTGAATCGTGACAGCAGTGAGCCCGCCCCTGGGAATTTATGATGATGGCCACACCAAAACCTTTTATTGCATGTACTGCATGTTAGGCAATTCACCTTTCCAAGTATCATAATTATAAGGTGGAGGTCCCATTTTTAGGACAATTAGAAACATGTTAGTGTGATACAGCTTTAACCTTAACCTCAAATCTGTTTGGTAGAACTACAGTTGAGCTCCTGGTTCTTGTCCATCTTGTAGTGACAAGTATGTGAACACTGTGAAATTTTGCCAGATTTTTCTTGTTTTTACTTCTCCAGAATCTCAGTGACTTGCATACTTCCTTTCATATTTACTATCAATTAATTTCATTTTTAATCACCTAGATCTGGTACCATCTCTTCTTCTAATTCAATAAATTTCCCCTCTGATCAAACTGTCTATTCAACAACGAAGTCCAAAGAAGTCCCTTCTTCCACAACTTCTCACTGAGTGAAATAGGATTAGTCATTCAGCCAGTGAGGTGCATGGGTTAGATCTCAGAATTCCCTTTTAGCTCTAAGCAGGATCAGAGAGAGGCCCTCCATGGTCATACCATCTGCAGGATTATCTATTATGGCTCTGCACAGGCCAAGGTACATACTCAGTCACATCATTCTCAATCCTTTTATTTTTTAAGTTGGTCAAGAACCAAAATGTTTTCTTAAAGGTTTACTTTCATTTTATAATTTTAATTTCTTTCACTTACACCTGCTTTTTTTGCTTGTCTTTTCTCCTCCCTTCACCCTATCCCAGCATGTAAATGCCACCTTGCAATTCCTCCAGAGCAAATATTCTTTCTGTCTTACAAGCTCAGTATACAATCTCCAACCACAAAGTAATGGTTAAATAATGCTTATAAAATAAACCCATTTCTAAGAGGTCAATTAGTTTAGCAAGTTCAAATCTCCATGAAAACCTGAAAGAGAAGTCCTCTCTGCTGGGCTTTGCCTAAGCAGTGCATGGCAGTAATCAGGTGACTTTCAGAATTCCCTTAAGAAGGACCCTTAGACCAGGAATACTAGTATTTCAGGACATTTAAGGAAACAAGGGGAAAATGAAGACCAAAGACCAATCTGAACTTCACATTTTTGCTTTCATTACCCAAGTTTAGGCTAGTTTATTGTTGTTTTTCCTACCAAATAAACCAATTTTGATAGTTTTTTTAAATGAAACCAATTTCCATTTCTTAAACTGTAAGTCATTCTCAATTTCCACATTTTTCATCTGAAAATTACAAATTAATTTCCTTGTAGGATATCAGTTCTTATAAGAAAGAGGGTTCACTGATTCTTCCGCAGTTGTATCCATGCAGTGCCTAACACATATGGCTGATAATAAGTACTTGTTGAGGGAAAGACTAATCATGCATTTAAACTAACAAAACATAGACAGGATCTGGCATGTAAGTATGTGGGAGAACTCTGAAAAGGACTTAAAAGAAGAACAACTACTAGCTGAAAGAGCTTGCTTACTCTTAAAAGATCACACAAAACTAGAAAACTGAAATATAGAATCTGCCTCTATCTTGACCTTCAAACTTTGCTACAGTTGCCTGGGCAAGGTCAGTTAGCAGGTGCGCTATTCTTTATTTCTAGTAGGAAACAATTGCTCTCCCAGGTTTCAGGCAAAGAATGCACATGCACCTTTCTAGCATCTATATCTGCGCTATCCAGTGTGATAGCCACCTGCCACATGTGTCTATCAGGCACTTGAAATGTGGCTAGTATGTAATGAGAAGTGCTGGAGGTATGAAATACAAACCAGATTTGTAAAGATTAGGACAAAAAAAGAATATAAACCATCCCACTGATGATTGTTTATATTAGTTACCTATTGAAGTATTTTATATGTATTGGGGTAAAGAAAATATATTATTAAAATTAATTTCACCCTTTTCCTTTTTCTTCTCTAAAATATTAAAATACTTCTGTGGCTCACATTATACTTCTATTGGGTAGTGCTAATCCAGACTGACAATAAGTCTCTTTGCCACCAGAAGGAATGCTCACTGAAAAACAGACAGCAGAATGTGATTCCTAATATTGCAATGTTTAACTAGGAAAATCAGATTTTCTACCTGGCATCAATGTACAGTCTCCCTCAAAGGCTTACAACTGCCTCGGGAGATAAACCCACTGGCTTTAGATGAAGGCACTAGTGCAAAGCAACAAAGCTGGTACTCGGAGGGCAAAACAAACCAAAGTCAGCTTGCCTTCAAAATGCACATTCTTCCCCTTGCTCTCCTCCAGTCACTCAGAGGGAACTTCCCCCATGTTTAAGAGGCTTGAGAAGGGGTGCCAACTATCTTTCCTGACTTACCCGGCTATGGATGGACTTCTCGTTTGACACTCTACACCCTTCAACCATATTTCTTCTAGCCACTAAATCACAGGCAAGAGAACTAGGTGAAAGGGTGACTGAAAAACTCAGAAAAATGCCATAAAATAGCATCCCCTTTGCTGCTATCTCATGTAAAAGAAAATAAGTTTTCCTAATGGGGCTTTTTTGCCTTAGCAATTCAAGTTCTCCACTCTGTCACTGTTAGTATAACTTAACCTGCAAGAAAGACTAGTGGGAAACTGCTACCTGTGAATTCACTGATTTGGACAAGATTACTTCACTTGTTAGGAATTAGCTCACTTAGTCTCTCAGCCGCCTCCAGAGCTTCATTTGCTGTGTCTGCCACAAAGAATCTTTGAACCTTCACTCCGTTGTCAGACATGAGTTTCTTGCTCTGGTATTCCTGCAGATTCAGCCATCTCCTGGGGGTTACCTGAACTGTCTGGGGGAATTGGGGGAGAGAGATAAGAACACTAATAAATAAGGAGAAAAATAAGTCAATCTATGTGTACCTTCTTATATGTACTCTTAAGTAGCAAACGGCAGCACAGATTTTTAAAAGGCACAAGAAAAAAATCTGTATAAATTCTTTATGCTTAATTGTTTTGGTAATCAAAAATGTTAGGGACAACTACACACACACACACAGACAAATGAATGCAGGTTTAAAAATCTGGTAAGGATTGAATAAGGTCTATAGTCCAGTTAAGAATGTACCAAATGTCAATGTTCTAGTTTTAATATTGTACTAAAACTAATATGGCAACATTAGGGGAAGTTGGGTGAAGGGTGCATGAGATGCTGTACCATTTTTGCAGCTCCCTGTGAGTCTATAACTATTTAAAATGTAAAGGACTCTATTATATAATATATGTCTCCCCCATGGCCACCCGAAATCAAGCTCATAACATTATTTAAGTAACTGAATACACATAGCTAACCATTACAAGGTATTTATAGAAAAATTTTTTAACAATTTGAGATCAATGGGCCACAAGCTAGCCCATTTCTTTAACATAGTTTTAACTTAGTCTAGATACAACCATTATTCATTTAATGAGATTATCTCTTTCACACTCCAAATTTGACTGCAGTAACATGAAAAAGTCACTATTAATTAAACTAACTTCCTAAAAACTGCAACTAGTATATTAAAGTAATCTTGCTTAAGTATCATGTAGAAGTGGTTTTCCAATATACACCATCAATTACTTTTTATCTGTGCTGAAAGAAAATAATCAGAGGGCAGAAAGACATGAACAGTACATCTTCAAATTCTTTCTACCTTTATGAAGAGTGACAGTGCTTGGCATATGGAAGATACTCAAAAAATACCAGTTATGCCAAAGGAAAAAACCCTTCCTTTGTCCTTTTCTTCCCTCATATAGATGATTTTTCATTCCCAGAAATTGACTTTCCCTAAAAATAGAAAAGTAGAAGTCCTTCAGATCTAAAATAAACACAATGCAATTTACACACACTAGTAAAAAATTCAAATTTCAGTATGACGAAGCCTAAAGATATTTCTCTGTTCCACTTTTACCATTATTGGTAATGATGTTTTTAATGTTGAAGTCTCCTGTACTTCATCTTTAGAAAGAAATAATACCAGGATAAAAATAAATTGCCAGGCAATGCTCACATCACTTACTATATATGATTTATTAATCTTACTTCTGGATTTTTAAGTCTTGATGAAACATTAGTAATTTGAAAAACACAGTTCCAAAAATAAAAATACTCATCGACTGAATAGTTTTAACAGCATGTCACACAATGTACAAAGAAAAATTCAAGTTTAGGCATTGAGTAAAAGCCCCCTAATGAAAGAAAAGATTAAATGTTAGATATGTGCCATATTCTAGGACCACCTTTAAAAGATAAATGGGGAAGGATCAATAGATTAAGTCTATGTTAACATACCAACATAAAGCCATTAACAGAAGAAGGAAAAAAAATGTTTTAAAAGGTGCATCTCAGACAGACTAAAAATACCCACAGTGCGGTGGTGGTCAATTTCTTTTCATCAGAACACTCATTGTATTAATTTTAGATATGTTAATGCAATCTGCTGCAAACTAATTACAATTGATCCAGAGACCAGCTTCATAGACATATAATACATATTGACTGTTTCTGCATTGACTCAAATGAAAGCTTACTTAAAATTCGTTGCTCTTAAATTGAAAACCAACACAGTGAACATAGTTTCTAAGCCACTGCTGACACCCATGCTATCACCCACAAAGCAGTCACCTTACAGAATAATCACCTATCTTTCTCAAACCTAAATTTGGAAGACTAGGGTCCCTGAGAGGGTCTAAAACTTCATTAACTCAATTTCACGTATTAAGAATGTGTGAAGGCGGAGCCAACATGGCGGCGTGAGTAGGACAGTGGGAATCTCCTCCCAAAAACATATATATTTTTGAAAATACAACAAATACAACTAATCCTAAAACAGAGACCAGAAGACACAGGACAACAGCCAGACTACATCCACACGTGCGAGAGCCCAGCGCCTGGTGAAAGGGGTAAGATACAAGCCCCAGCCTAGCGGGACCCGAGCACCCCTCACCCCAGCTCCCGGTGGGAGGGAGAGGAAGCCCAGGACTGCTAAACACCCAGCCCCAGGCACCTGCACCGGAGCGCAGACACAGTGCATGCGTGGAGGGCTGGAAACTGGGAAACAGGGCAGCAAGACCTCTGAGCGGGTTCAGAAGCTGATGCCCCTGTGACAAAGAAAAGCGAGTGCTTTTTGAAAGCCTTAAAGGGACAGGGAACTAACAGCTGGACAGAAACAACACAGCTCACAGCCCAGTGGCTGGAAATTACAGGGAAAACCGGGCACACTAACCCCCTGGGCAACAGCTCTGAGACCCCCTCATGGAGGTAAACAACCAAACAGTCCCCCTGTCCACTACCCCTCCAAGCGCTGCAAAAGCAGAGAAACAGCCTAAGGAAGACCACAGCCACAGAAAGGGAGCTTCCTGCATATCAGCCGGGCAAGACACAAAGACCCAGTCTACACGCAATTACCCAAGACAAGCCACTAGGGGTCGCAGTTGTCCCAGTAAAGAAAGGCCAGTAGCAAGTGAAAAGTTTGGCCCTCCCAGCCAACAATCAATAGCACCTGTCAACATGAAAAGGGAAAAAAATATGATCCAGACAACACTAACCCAGACAGCTTCGGCATCTGCTACATCTTCCCCTGAGAAGGAACCTGGGGAAATAGATTCAACCAGTCTTCCTGAAAAAGAATTCAAAACAAAAGTCATAACCATGCTGATGGACTTGCAGAGAAATAT